GGCAGTGAGGCCCAGGGGGAAAAATGTTGTACGCTTCACGGGTTTTAAGAGTCATCGACCTTATGGACGCACGGCGGCGGCGGCCGACTAACAGCAACCTTATATTATTATAGATATTATATTTAATACATGTTTATACGTGTACGGACCGTACACATTTACGCACTTTTTAAACGACTATAAATACATAGGCGTAAGACGGCGTATGGGTTCGCAGCAAGAGACTGGAAATCCATTAACGATAAACTCGTACGCACGTCTTATGAGCGCGAGCTCATTCGCCTTCCGGTGCAATGTCCGTCGAATTTCATTAATGAATATTCACCCCGTTCAGTTAGATAACCGCTTCGTTATCAGAGTCGCAACGAAATCCAACGCTGACGTTGTTTACCCAAAGCGGTCGGTTACACTTACTTATCGTCGGCAAGCGGAACGTTCTGAAAGTAATGTCACGACACCTACGACTCGATACTGACATTGAGTATTTTCAGCTGTACTAGTGTCTATAATCGCGTGAGAAATATTTCATTTCCTACGGCTCACCCTCGTTGGGTACGCGCAATAAAATTCAATACAAAAAACGTGGCCGCAAATAATTACGGTTATGTAAAACTCTTTTTATTCTTATCTTATAACGTTCAAATTAAAAACAAACATTTGTAGTGACCGCTGGAGTATCTCTGACCGCCATGGAGTACTCGCGGTTGACCTCAGCACTAGTAATTTGTACATTCATAATAAGAATACACAGTCCATGAGTAGAATCCCGTTCTGTCTTTGGAATCTTTATTTAAAATAATTTTTAATCGAATATATAAATTACCTTGGATTTACCAAGATAAGACGAAAATACGGCCGGCGATTAAAGGGTAAAAAACCCGATTTCAAATCATTAAGACACATAATGTATTTTTTTTTCCTTGAAAAATCCGGTCGCCTCCGAATTATCACATGATTCGTAGAGTGTAGCCGAGCGCAACCGGTTTTGGGGTGTTCAAAAAAAAAAAACCAAATACGAGAACTCACAATTTTTTACTCGGGATAATCCCCGGGAAAACGATCGGAGCAACATGGAGATAGTGCTGTAAAAAACATTTCATACGTATATTGATTATTTCCATGAGCTGTACATGTAACTCATAAAACATAAACGCTGTACGGCATGCGGAGTGGCCTATGCGGTGCATCGTTACAAACCTGTTGAATAGGTGAACAGCAACAATAGCCAACACAATTTACTATGCGTTTTTTTGCAGTACCTTCGGGTTAGTATTATAATTAAATGCCTAGAGTACGATGGTGGGTACTTCAAAGGTTACAATAATAACCGTACAAGTGCATGCACGTTAATTATTCACAAACGCCGCCGTTAACGGTACGTATAATTTTCTCTCCGTAAGCGTTTTAAATTCTAACACAATTATAATAATTATTATAATATCATATTATAATGGTAATGCATAATGTATTTTTATAATTAATTAATAAATCATTGATGATGGGTTTTTCAAGGAACTCGCACACGAGTGTACTTAATCGTTTTATGAATCATTCGCGTACATTCGTGTGCCGGGCAAATAAAATCGGCGACATTCGATGATTTAACAGGAGTTTCTAATGGCCTCCTCGCCAATAATTAAATACTTATCAAATCTACTTAAATAAACGGCCAAGTGGTAACACGATTTTACGCGCGGCGTTGTTTTTTCTACATACAATTGTTATTGTACAATAAAATATTCACGAGTGTGTTCGGTAGTTTATTACCATATAGTTTATTTTATCGAAGTAGGTTGAGTAGGCGATTAAATATTATGTTAGTATTACACTAGTGTATCACAACAATCACGAAATACGTTTTCTGGTAAACAGTAAATAAATAAAGCGATGGAAAAATTCGGCTTCAATGAACAACAGTGATTGTAACGTTATCATCAATGAGTATGCATAACACGAGTATTATCGAGACCGTTTCGAATTCATTGCTTATCAACGACGAGAGCGGTAGTCATCGAATGTAATGCAGATAAAACAACACAAATCTTATTGTACATACGGCTAAATGTTCATACCACAAAATCATTTTAAATTATACCGTTTCTAAAATTCCAGACCGTTCGGCTTGAATATTCATTAATACTAATCTTCACACACACACACACACACACACTGGCACTGAAGTCATTAGCACTCGAAATATAAATACCCGATCTCGTTTTTTCCAAAAGTGTTTATTCAAATTTATGCTCTGCGCGAAAGGTTAAATTCATAGCGCCGACAAGATTGTTCGTGTAGAAATGATGACATGAATAATTGACGCCGACATTAATTTCATGTTATGCGGGCGTAGTTTACAGGTCTGTCGAAGAATTACCATGCGCTTAGCTATCAATGAACCGTTGGAAACGGTAAAAACGAGCAAAACATGACATTTGCAATTATTTGATAACAATGCCCTTAATATGACGGTTGCCGAGAGTAATTCCAAGGCAAGTAGCCCCGTCAAGTAGGCCGGAAATGAGCGGTGGTAATTCGATAAAATCGACCAGTCATCACATAGTCAACGTTATATGAAACGTCTACCGTCTGGGCGACGGGAGAAGTGGGAAAGGGAAAGTGTGATTTTTCGCACTAGAGGCGGACGGGGTTGTTTGAAATGCAAAATCACGAGTAAATACGATTTTTCAAACGCTCTGTAAATTCACTTGTACCGCAAATTATTATTAATGTGTCGGCAGCGTACATTGAATGTAACGCGTCCGGAACACATCGATGGCGAGAAAAAACCAAGTTGAAAATGTGAATTGTTGAAAAAACATAATAAATAACAGTGGAACGTGTACACTAACTGTTTTACTGGTCGGCCTGTAGATAGGTAGCGAACGGTCACTTCTGCGTAGAATACACGAATGAGTAATATGTTAAAGCCATTTAGATGTGTGTGTGTGTGTGTGTGTGTGTGTATTCAGTCGTCTTGATAGTATCGACGAATTCCACTTAATAACGTCTGTTGTAAATTACACACGAGGACCTCACGGTATTTCGTCATATTTTAGGTTCGGCAGAGTGAGTGCAATACATATTTTTTACCGTAATCTTATACGAATAAATCAATGGGTCGCAATGAAATCGTGATTTCCCATAGTTTCGGTTGGATAGTGCGCTAAAGTCAAGCTGAGGGGTTAAAATGTTTGATTTGCCCGTGTTTGGCAAAAAGGTTTCGACAATCGGCCCGTAGTATCGTTACAGTGGCCGCGGGATACCAGCGCACCTATAAATCGTATTAATCAAACGGTTTTCAAAGTAAATCGCCGCCGCGTGTAATAACAATAATAATAATGATATACAATAAAAATGTACCCGGATAGAAAGTAGTGCAGTATCGGTAGTAACAGTGGTAAATGTAGTAGCCCTCATCGAGACAGATGAAAGTGTGAACACAATAAGGGTTAGCCCACATGGATTTCTACGATTTTTTTATCAATTACATTTCATAGATTACAATTATTACAAAACACAGTCGTGCGATCATATTGGTGATGAGTAGGTGTGTGACCCCACCGCGTCCTCATCCCGACGGGAATACCCGTATTCGGTTAATTTGATAAAAAAAGGAAGCCTAATTACTGCACACAATAAGTGGTTTTCATAATTTTTACTTGAACTAGTGTGTAATTATGATTATCATTAATAATCACTAGTTTTAGTATTAGAGTAGTTTTTTTTTTCGCTTAATTGACGATATTGGAAAAATCATTTCAAATCCGCTTGATTTAACACAATAATAACAATAATAGTACGTTTATCACATTGAACGATTATCATATGATGATCGCATCAAAGGTCGACTAGCGTTAATTTACAAATACCAACGCGTATTACGAGTGCGTATAATCTAAAAATATTAAATGATTTTCTTTCCTGAAACATTTATTACTAATGTTGAAGCAACACAAACGAAGAAAGCACAAACTGTTGAATGCGCACAACCGTTTTTATGTACGGTGAAGGTGAGAGGACACATACTTTCAAATACCGTTATGAACCCAAGGTGGTATTTTGATGGGCAAAATTTAAAACAAAAAAAAATTCACAAGGTCATGCCATTCTACATTATCAGCGACGAAAAATGTGATCACGCAGATAAGACAGAACACTTGTGCACATATGTACGCATATTTATAAATAAATGTTAAAAATATTGCTTAATATTAGACATTTTGTTTTATTGGAAATCGGGTCGGCTTGTCAATGAAAACATTGTCTACTATTTGTTAATAAGTTATGCAAGTTTAAAAGAAAAAATAATTTTCCATCTCCTGTCCGTGTAGTTCAAATGGGTATACATACTCACATACTACACATACTCGGAACTGGTTTTTTGAAAACACGAGAGCCGCCTAATACGTGTTATTAATATTTCAAAAACGCGCATACCAAATATAATCACCCGACTTGGATATCTGTTTATAACAGTTTGAGTTTAGAGAGATGTTTAGATAAAAAATAAAACAAATAAATATTGCGATCGATATTTTAAACAAGATTATTTCCTTAACGATTGGTCAAAACAGCTTCTCATAAAGCTCATTAATATTATGATACATTCTTTAGCAAAAACAATAACAAGGAGTCGGCTTAATTATGAAAACAATGTTTTTGTCCCAACGCCGTGAGACTTCTCTTTGTGGGCGTTTTCCCTGAGCACCTTAGACACTTTGTCCCGAGACAAATTTATTAATTTTGTGGTCCTCTCTAAAAAAAAAACAACACAGGGGTACGTTTTCCAGTGAATTTTCCGCAACGTCGGAGGGTAATAGTAAAATAACGACAGCTGGTGTAACATAAAGTTTTTAATATGACGAGATGTTTCGCACGAGATTTACTTTTTAATATGCTGCTACTTTAATCAAGTTAGTATAATTAGGAAAAACCTGACCGGAAGACATTTGCACCTAGAATAGTTCGCAGTAACCGTTATCGTTTAACAATAATCGTACCTGATCCAAATCGGAATCCCACAGGTCCTTCATGTCGTCATTCATGAACGGATCAAGCTTGGACGATAGCTCCATGTATATGTTGAGGTTGTCCATATCGTGCATGGACATATTCATTTTTGGTCCGCCAAAACCTAATGATCTGGATGTAAATTGCTCAGAGACAACACCTTAGGAATCACCACCAACACTGACCGAGCGGATTGTGCCAGTTAACAATCAACGCCAGTGTGTATTTTGTATCCGTATGTTGAAATGATGTATCAACGGTGAAAACGACGGCGAATCCGCACACGTAAAATCAAAAAAAGAGTAAAAATAAATCCAGTTCAGTATACTTTTTATCACAACGGCAAATATATTATTCGAGCAGAAAATTACAATAATTCGTATCGTTCTGGTTTTTCACATGTCACTTCGTCAACGTCCAAAATTCGTATCGTCGCGGACAGAGTCATACACAGATAGACGTAACGCGGGTACTGAAACGTTTGCCGGTCGGGTCTGATGGCTTCGATGGCGAGAGAACGGACCAACGCGCGCCAGAGAACGACGACCTGTTGCTGGTGCCGAGGCGTGTACGTCGCGGCGACGCCGGTTGTGATTCCCCTTCACCTCGCGCCACCCCACAGACCAATTACACCGCTACCTAAACAGCGGTAGGCGCTGTAGAACGAAGGAGAGTCGTTTTCCCGTTTGCTTGAACCACAGCGCTATCTGTACGCGCTTTACACATAAAACTATGCATAGTTGTAGAGTAGTAAAATTTCTTTTAATTTATTTAATTAAACTTTCAAGGAATAGTGTCAAGATATATTAAAGATAATGTTCAAAAACTTATATTACTACAGTAAATGCATATCTAATCTGTAAGGTGAAATTCAAAAGTATTATGTTCATTTTCATGCCTTTTTATTATGATTAATAAGAATTTTTCATACTATACGCTGTTAACATTCGGTTAACATACTTTAAATGTCAATTACAAACCCGCTACGGTAGAAACTTTATTCTAATTGATGCACTCAAAAAAGTGCTTGTTGATGAGTATTTATAATATAATAAAATTAAGTAAATAAAATAAGTTGCCTTTGAATTATTAAATTTGGTTCTAATAAAAGCCATTCGGCGGTATCTTAAATCAACATATTAATTATATTTTGTAATTTTTACTTGATAAATCGACACTAAAGTAAAGCATTCCTGTCATTAGCAACTAATAAAATATGTCCAAAAAAAATTATTTGACTATATTCCTAACGACTATATGGTTATTATTTAAACTACATTGTACGTTGTAATAAAGTACCCGGTGATTAACTGAATACTAACAATTAACAAGTATGTTGCCTTTAATAATGTTACTTAATAATTTTACAAGACCTTCAACATTTAATCAGCAATTAATATAAAATAATTCATACAAAATTTATTATAAAAATTTTATAGTAAATCAAAGTTAAGACGAACGATGCAATTTTTAAATTACACTAATATTTTTTTGAAATTTAATGGATTATTAAAATTTGAAATGTTTCTTTTCTTTTTTAGTTTCGATACGATGCTAATGAGTTATTAGTTTTACCATGATTTTTTTTTTTTTTTTTTGTGTCTATTATCAAAATTCACAGGTCTCACTCAGCCGATTTTATTGATCCATGTGTCTAAATTAATTGAATTCAAATTTAATTTAGATAAACCTATCATTACCACAAATTAAAAAACACCTTGATTTTAGATATTTAAAAAAATATCTGAAAATTATGCTACTGTAAAAATTGGCATTTACAACATTTTTTTTCTAAATTTTTAACATAAGAAAACTGATCCTAATATAATTTTAACCAAGTAAACCAGTTAAAATAATCTTTCTTTTAATGTAGGTAGTATTAAAATACAATGAAATACAATGTAAATACAGGAAAAGCTTGATAGAGTCCACCTATGCATGCAAATAAAAACTTTTAATTTATATCAAATTAAAGTTTTTGAATTGTATTAAAATATTAAAAAAAATCCAATCACAGTTGTTCTACTATAAGAGAGCCGCTGCCAAAGTAAAAAAAAGCATTTCACAAAACAAATGTTCTAGTTACCAATGAGTTAAAATAATTAATAGTTTCAAATTTATATCTGAAATTATAATTAGCCAACGAGAGTCAAAATAACCAAACCTACCGTTTTTTTTTTTTATAAACCAATAATTATAATTTTGATTGCCATAGAAGTAACGAAATATGCAAATACTTAATATTTTTTATAATTTTTTCGTAAAATTAACAATAATAAATTATTGAATTTAATTTTCATACTAAATTTAATTACTATAATAAGTATTTATTTATTTAATATACTTCTAAATCATAAAACTTGTAATCAGGATATAATTAAGAAAATGGATTTGTTATTGCTTTTGGAATAATCCAATAATTCCTTCAAAAATTAAACATTATAGAGTCGCATTAAAGAGCTTATTATTATAATTATTTTAATCACTGTCGGATATTATCTTTACTTATTCCAACTTTGTCGCTTTCTTATTGTGTCACTATTCCATTGTGCTAAGTTTTTCGTTTCATTTTCTCCAAAAATCAAATTTTAACAAAAATTAAATTATTTGATCATATTACGTTTATTTGGATCATTTTTTGTAATTTTTGACAGTAAGCGAAAATAGATACCTCTTAGGCGTACCTATAAAATTTTTACTATTCAAATTTAATTGATAAAACCATATTATTATTTATTAATTTAAGAATTTAGAATTCTTATTTCAATAATTAATTTTGTACTATAGGCAAATACTAAACAAACTGGTTAGCAATTTTTCCATTTTTTATCAAAATGTTTATATTTTGTACAGTTGAGTACCTTTGAACCTCTCGATGCAGATATTGTACTTGCAATAAACAAAAACTAAAATTTCTTTAACAAATAATGCTTTCATATTTAAGCCTATAAATCCTTAATGCCGCATTAACTATGATTAAAGCTTATAGCTCTCAAACCCCTATACCAAACAATACCAATTCTCAATACGAACAATAAATGTTTCAGTTTATGCTTTAAATCTGTACATACGTTTGCATATATAGTAAGTTAAACCGAAATGTTTTGGGTTACAGTTAGTTTATTTTTATTGACTGTCAAGTAACAACAGGTGTACACATTATGTACATTTAATTACACTTGTCATCACAACTTGCTGGAATGTTGATGATTTTAAGAAATATTTTCCATGTTATTATGCTAATGTTCAGTTGATTATCAAATTACCTCACAAGTAAAATTTTGTTTTTAAATAATAATTTTCATGTTTACTTTTCTCCGCTACTAACATTAGACATTTGAATTTCTAGTGGTTTCACTTAACACTACATAACTGCCGCATCCTCACCACAAATGTTGTATAATAACCATAGACGCAATTTGAATAAAATTTATAGGTCTAATTTAAAGTCTTACTTCTTAATTTTATTCATATTTAAAATATATGTATTTTTCACAAATTGTGTAGATTTTGCTCGAATTTTCTTGGACATAAATAAAAAAAATATGTTTCATTTCCTCACTGAGATATTCTTTATAAAATCCAAAATTTAACCTTGTTTGGCTACATTACAAATAGGTCGTACAAATTGTTGCACACTTTAATATGTAATTTTAACGACTAGCATGACAGTTGTATTCAATATGAAATGCATAATAAATAATCTGTATTAAACAAATACCTATAGTTAACATTTATGACAGTCGTTTCATTAGAACAACATTTAAGTACCTGCCTAGTACCTTTATGAATATCCTATCGGTGTTTATTAATAAAGGAAACATTGTCCATAAAATTATCAGCCGTTTTTATCGTACAAACCAATTTCGTAAAAGGTTTCGATATATTTTGCATATTTATTACTTAGTAACAAATGATAATATATATTTTTATCGCTTTTAATTAGCAAAACGTGAAAAGCTAAACGAGATAATAAAGACATACGGTACAAACAGGTAGTATTTTAATTTCTATTAGCTGAAAATATACAAATGAGTTATAAAAATCGTGTTCAGTATAAAAGTGTAATTTATTTGTCAGCTAAGTTACGAATTAACTTAGTTCGTTTCTATTATAGAAGCTCAACGTTAAATTTATCAGTCCTATAATTTATAGGACTGATAAAAATTATCAGTTATTATATAGGCTATAATATAACTGACCGACTTATTTATAAAGATATGTATATATATTATTTTAATATGAAAACAGAACTCTATTGTTTATTGTTCATATAATGGATATTCATTTAAATATATAAATACGACACCTTTGAGATCAGACAACCCGTTTTTATATAATCTATCTGTAAGGTATAACATCAAAAATGTACTTTAGATGAAAAAATTGCCTGAATATTATACAAAGTGATTGATTTATTGTTGGCCATTAATTTTCATCCAAAATAATAATTAAAAAAAAATTGATTTTGCTTAGTATTATTTATTTTTCAATTTATAAATGAATAATTATTTTATAGGCTTATTCTGTATATCTTATAATGGTACCAACTTAATTTTTTAATATACATATTTAATTATATAATATGAATTGACAACTTGTGTCTAATATTATTTAAAATAAAAAATATATATATAGTTTTAAATAAATATTTTAAATTTACTTTTATTTTAAATGCATATTTAACTATAATTAATTAGCTAATATAATAGAAAATTATCCAACTAAGAAAATGGCAATTTTAACTTTTGAACTAATATTTCGGGAATTATTAATATTTTTAAATGTAGACTGAAGGTTAGGTGTGGGCTATATTATTTTTATTATTATGAATTTCTTATCTGTACTGCTTAAGTATAAATATAATAGTAATTTCTGAACCACTAGTTCAAAAGTTATAATAGACTAGAAATTTCCATAGTTAGATCATTTTCTGTTATAGTAGTTAAATATGTTTCTTGTCATTAAAAAAAAGAAGTTAATACTTTTATAAAGGTCAAAGATTAAGATATAAAATATTCAACCATTTAAATTGGAAAATAAATACTACTTAAATAAGTGAAAAAATGCTCAAAATTATTATTATTTTAGAAATTACTACTTCTAAAATTCAAATATTTTAGAAGTATTTAACGATAAATCAATCACTCTGTAATTTGATTGTAATCCCAAAATTATTTTCATATTTTAAATTACACATTTTTTCCCTGTATATCAAACTTGTACTACTTAGTTTCTTTTATGTTTACATTGTATGTTATTTATTTATATCTGCCTATTTTTTTTTAATAACCTCCAGCGTGAATTACAAATAGTTTTGATTTAAAGGCCAAACAGGTGATATATTCTATTCATATATAAATATGTATGTATATTTATTAAATTTATAAAACCAAAAACCATTACAATAAAGGTACTGCAATTAAAGAGCTTAATATATGATTATTGATTATGATGTTAAACAAAATTGTATTTTGAAATGAGGTCGACTAGTCTATAATAGATAGCTTAAGGAAAGTGTGATGTCAACAAGCTTCTCTGTTATTACGATACTTGTCAAATGTCTATTA